TCATAGAAGAAGCACATTACACTCTATTGGGTGGATATGCTGGATCCCTTAGAATATTTCTCTATTTATCTACTTCTTTCCATTGGAAGCATATGCGTAGAGATGTCACTATTTTTATCCAAGAATGCACAACGGGTCAGTAGATTAAAACATCTACATCAGCACCCTTGGGTTTACTTCACCCATTTCCAATTCTGGAAGTTATTTTTAAGGAATTAACACTGGATTTTATTACTAGTTTTCCTCATTTGAATGGCCTTTCTATAGCTCTAGTGGTTGTGGACCGTTTATCAAAGTATACACACTTTGTTGGTCTACAACAATTGTTTAAAGCAGTTGTTGTGGCTCAAGTTTTGTTTGAACAAATCATCAGGCTACATGATTTTCCCCATCCCCTTGTTTCTGATTAAGACCCGATTTTCATGAGTAAGTTCTAGCAAAAATTGTTCTCATTGAGTGGTACCAAGCTCAAGATAAGGTACAACTACCATCCCTAAATCGATGGTCAATCTGAAATGACCAACTGTTATTTTGAGCAGTATTTGAGGGCATTTTGCTCTGAGCAACATCAACATATGTCTTTATTTCTTCGCTGGGCAGAATTGCACTACAATTCTTTAGTGCACTCGGCAATTGGCATGTCCCTATTTCAAATAGTTTATGGGCGTCTTCCACCAATGATACCATATTATCCTCGTGAAAAGCAACCTGCTGTGTGCTCAAAATAGCATGAAGAACCAAGCTGATAGGCATCGACGTGATATCACTTTTGCTGAGGGAGACTTAGTGCTGATCAAATTACAACCTATCGTCAGCTTTCTGTGATTCATAGATCTAATTTAAAGCTTGCTAAACGCTTCTATGGCCTCTTTGCTATTAAAAAGGTCATTAGTTCGATGGCTTATCAGTTGGATTTACCTGCCACTTCGAAGATTCTTCCCACGTTTTTTGTTTGAAGCCATTTTGTGCTAAGTCAGTTGTTCCTTTACCTCCTCAATGTGCTGACAATAAACCAATGCAGCTTCACATTGTAATCCTGGCAACTTATACTATTCCTGTTGGTGGCAAGGACTAGTAGCAATTCCTGGTCCAGTGGTCTAAGACAGTTCCTGAGCATGCTAGTTGGGAGTCAAAGAAAGTTTTGAGTGCAACCTACCCACATCTTGACCTTGAGGACAAGGTCTCTCTAGAGGGGGGCAGTTGTTACAAGCCCAAATGATGTTGTTGCAAGTCCAAACGAAGCTGGCCCAAGTAGACCCATCAAAAGAAGAGTGAAACCAACATGTTTAAAATATCACAAGTGAAAACTGTTAGAATAGTTAAATGCTGACATGTATAGGAGGTTAGTTTGTTAGGGAACACATGGGTTACATATCTGCATATAAACTCTATGTTGTAATGTTTTGGATTCATTACAAATAATACAAAAATTACTTTTCCTCTCTGATTCTTTTTCCCTTTCTCTTCATTTTTGATATTGATTGTATCACACCTCTCTCTCTCTCTTTCACAATTTCTTTTGTTCACAATTAAGAAGCACAAGGCTACTTTAACTTTATTAATTGATCATATCATTTTTAAGTAATTTGTAATCTGAAATGATTGTGTATTCATGTATGATTTAATACTCAAGATTTATTCATCTGCTCTTTATTTGCCCTTTTATAGAAAAGGAAAATGGTCAATAGCAATACATAAAATCAAAGGTCTAAAATGAGATAAAAAAAAGTTTTATACTATTGGTATGCATTCTGTTTTGTCATGCTTATTTTTAAATCATGACAAGGGGTTTAATACTTTCAACTGCAGAAGTCACCGCTACTTTGATTGATACTTGTTCTCCAGGAAAAATCAGTATAGATTAATGTCTTTGGATCATAACACAATAAAAGCAGGAATAATCTATTATATAGAACCAAAAAAGCTGATGTGTCAAACTCTCATGCAGTTTCAGCTTTGTGTTCACACTTGCATGTCAATTTAAAAAAAAAATACATAATAAGTTTTTAATTAAATCAAAAATTGAAATTAAGAAATTAGTGGGAGACATCTAATTAACGACCCACTATCATTTTTACATTGGAACCTATAAGGTTTTTAAAAGACAAATAAATAAATAATAATAAAATAAATCAAAATTCAAAATTAAGGAATTAGTGGGAGACATCAAATTAATGTCCAACTATCATTTCTACATTGGAATTGTAAGGTTTTTAGTTGGAAATTATTGAAAAGTGGAAAGTCTATTAATGATATTGAAAATTATACTACCTAAAAAAAAACTTTTCAGTTCCTCCCCTCTCTCAATTACTTTTATAAATACCAAATTCTAAAATGGCATCTTTATTTTTCTCAACGCCTTTCTCAGCTTTGATTCTTCACCCAAACCCCATCCTTTCCTTTCCCCTCATCCACTCTCATTTTGTTTCTCATTTTCTTGAACATTAGTCACGGACCCAGTTACCTTTTTCTAGTCAAAGAGGAAGCAAGATGGGATCTTTAGCAAAGAAGGGATCAGACAAAAAAATTATTTGAAACAGCTCCAGCAACACCCTTTGAGAACCAAGGTCCCTCTTCTTTATTTATTACTGCATTTATCTAATTTTTAATTTCCCTTTACATGGCTTATTTTCCTTGCTTCTTTTTTTATCCATTTTCATTGACCCATTATTTTGTTAGTCCTAAAAGAGCTACCTTTAATGGTTCACGTAATAGATTAGTTATAGGTGGCTAGCGACTAGCATCTTGGAAGAATTTATAAGAAACAGTCTAAAGGTCCAACCTTGCACGCGAAAGTTAAAATCTATGGGTCACAAGCCTGAGTGTGCTTTGTGGGAGCGGTATGTAGATCAAGTATAAACTTTCTTAGCATATAATCAGTCTCATCAAAATGTGGAAAAAGGATTTTAGGAGTTTTTTTATAGTTCTTTCTTATTTTATGCTTATGTTTTAGGGTTATCAGTGAGGAAAACGTAAAAAATGCATAATGATGGAAAAGGAAAAGATCAAGGCTTTATAACGGTGAAAGCAGTGTTATTAAAACCGGATCGGACCGGCTGGTTCAACCCGGAAACCGCTAAACCGGACATGTAACCGGCCGAGTTACACAACGGATCGGTAATGCAATTGAACCGGTACGGACCGGGTTGACCCAACCGCTTTTATCAAAACCGGTAAACAACCAGCGACTCGACCCGGAAGAATAAAACGGTTTTTTAACACCCAAGGCCACGTGGCTGTTGTAATCACATTGCACTTAAAGCATGTCCAACAGTTTATAAACGTTATACTTCTCCCTGATTTGGTCGATGTGGTACCTTTAAATCTCATGGCATCGCCAACTACACATGGAAAGCCTAATAGAAGTGTTTCAAAGCCAGATATTGGTAGAAGCCCAAGACACGATGTCCTGTTAAGATTTTCACCTTCCTCTGCATGTTTTTGGTTGAGTTAGAGTATAATATATTTAAACTTGATGAAAAAAATCTGGTTGATTTATTGCAAGAAACAACCTCCCCTAACGCACAAGGAAAAACACAGGTCTCAGGGGCTGCATCTCGCTTTTCTCGTTTTGGTTTTGGCTCACAACTCGTTTCGGTTTTATTATGATGAAAAGCTGAAGAGATGGGTAGAGGAAGGTGCTGAACTTCCAGCTGAAGAAGCTGCACTGCCACCACCTCCAACAACTGCTGCTTTCCAGAATGGTTCAAACGAGTACAACTTGAAATATGCATTGAAGACTGAAGGTTCACCTCCTAATGAGGGCTCTAACATAAGAAATCCAAGTCCTGAACTTTCTTCAGGGATGCCACCGATACCACCTAGCTCAAATCAATTCTCTGCCCGCGGACGCATGAGTGTAGGCGGGGGTTTACTTTGTTTTTTTTTTTTGGTAATCAGTTTACTTTGTTTTTAATTATTTGGGGAACAACATATTTTGCGTGTATTGTTAATATAAAAAGTCATATTATTTCAAAATTGGGAAAAGAGGTAATGGAAAATTGTTATTATATGTTGTTATTATATGTTCCTCAACAAAGAAAAATAATTATTTAGGTGTATATTAATCAGATTATTAAATTAATATTTTTAATATTTATTTTTTATATATAACCGGTTCAAGCGGTTCAACCAGTGACCCACTGGTTTAACTAGTGACCCATTATAACAACCCTCATTAGTAAGTTAAGGGAAAGGAATTAATTAGGTGGTTAACTAGATTAAATACTTATTCAATGAAATTGTGAGAGTTAAATTAATAGATTCAGGTGATAAATAATAAGAGAATACAAGTCTAATAGGATTCAAATATAATTATTATATATAACTAAGAACATAAATATTTATATAGAGTAAGTTTGTGTTTACCTTGGTAATTAGGCCTAAATATAAATTAGGTTGAATAATTAATTAGTTTAGAGAAATTAGTAAGTTCAAAGTATCTTTAAATTATTTAAATGATGCTTGGATTAATTATTAAAATTAAGGAAAAGATGGATTAATTATTAAGCAATAAGATGAGTTTTGATTAGTAAAAAGTCAAACAATATTCTTAGTCTTAATTATTTAAGTTGCAATGTTGTGTCTTCTTTAAATTGTCATGTACGTAACTTTAGTAAAAAAGATGAGGAAATTTGATAGAATTGAACCAATAAATATTTAAGATGATACTTGATTAGTCAAATGAAGAATTAAAGAACCAATATTATTTAATGTTGACAAATCTATATTTGGTGGAATTGAGTACTTTATCACCAAGTTTCATTAAAAGTCATTCACCAAATTGTTGTACGCTGCTTCGTGAAGTTTTTATGCTTTCTTTTCTTTCTTGTCACTTATGTGGGCCGTAGAGTTTAGGAAGAAAGCAACAAGCAAATAGTTTGGTTGTTTAAACCAATGAGAAAGTGACATGTTAGTCAAAAAAATAAATAAATAAACTAATACTACTTGACTTCAATTAGGCGGTCCCTTTTCCTTCGTTCTTTTTTTTCACGCTGCACTCCCCCTTCTTTCTTCTTCCTTAGTTCGTGACCTTCAATGGAGAAAGGGCAAGAGAGAACTTGATGAGTTAGTCACCACTTCATCTAGACTGCAACATAGAAAAGGTAGCTTAGCACCCTATCATCCTAACCCACCATTTTTCTAACTTTGGGAAGCTTTAAATCTCTTCTTTTCTCCTCTATACAGCAGCGCCTGCACTTGGAAAAGGGGGAGGAAATGGATTGATTTCATAGTTCTAAGCTTAGGCAAGTCATCACTAGTTCTTGGTTAGGTTATCTAAGGTATTAAACCTTCACTTCCTTGATTAAATTCTTAGAAATGATGATGATATTACATGATATAGGGCTGTTTATGATGTGTTTTACATTAATTATTTGATGAGTTTTATGTATGGTTGTTGGTTGTTTAAAGATTTGATGTCAAACTAAACATAGGAAAGCTTTAAATTAACAAAGGAAATTGTTGTGAGTACAAGGAACCAATTGGCCATGGCATGAAAATTTATGTAAACCAAGTGTTTGTTAAAATGTCTAGGTGAAGCTACGATTTTAATTGATCAAATAAGGATTGGTTTAATAAATATTGAGTGAAAGTTAAAAGATACCCTTGGAACTCTAGTGTAAGCAACACAACCACACACTTTATGATTAGTGAGGATTGTTATATTAATTATGAAAGTTGATATAAAGGATGATAGGAACATATATGGTTGATGAACAAAGTAAGCTATAATGTGTTTAAGTGGTGCAACCATGTGTTTGTTAGATTGTCTAAAAGAAATATTGATTTCAAGTGGTTGTTTGATGGTTGCTTTAATTAAATTAAGTGGAAATTGTGAAGGAAAGTTTATAGAATTATATATGGGCCAATTCGGCCAAGTGAGGTAAGATACACAAGACATGTTTTGATTTTGTTCTTATGTGAGTGGGTGACAAAAATATATATTAGAAGGTTACTTAGCATGAAACAAGTTGGTATTAATGTAGTGAAGTTGATAGAATTCTCAATATGTCTTATAGTTACTATTCGGGTATGGTAGTTTAAATAGGTACATGATGTGTTTGATTAATTTTGCATATGAATTCATGTTCAATGATTTGGTTAAGATTGATGAGAATAAAGAATAAAGAGTAGAGGTGGTGAGAAGATCCTTAAAAATCCATAAGTACCAATCGGCTATTTCATGAAAGTGGATGGAATTATTTTGTCATTAAGCTAAATGGTGTTGGAGATTCCTTGAATATGATGTAATTGATTGAAAGCTTGAAAGAAAATTATGGAATCATTAAATAGGCCAATCAGCCATACAGTGCAAAGAATGATTATTGATCATATATGTATACTTAAAGAATGCTTGTTTTATAATATAAAAGTTGATGAATTGTGGTGGAACTTACATGGACACATTTCGGTTATACATGTATTTAGGCCAAGGAATGGTGTTAATTAATATTATGAGTGTGTGATGTTCCTCGCAATTGTTAGTAACATGAAGTATGAATTAACTAAGATAAAATGGTAAGTCCATGGGTATGTAACTATTCGACCAGTATGTATTACATGGCTAAAGAAATTGATGTTAGTTTTATGTCAAGTTAATGGAATTATAGTCTACGAATGCTTTCACAAGAGTTAAGCTAAGTAAACATGATGAAATTATATATGTATGAGTTCGGTTAGTATGAGAAGTGAATTAGAATGAGATTAGATGAATTGTAATAAATAAGGAATATGGATAGGATCTTATAAATCACTAAGTTAATGATCGAATGTAACCTACAGAATGTTGTTTACGTGTATTACAAGTAATGTAATTAACTGTCATTAACAATACATTATAATGGTACCAGTGAAAACCAAGGGGTGTGAATCCAAGGGATTCGAATCAAGTGAGGCGGACTATGCGTGGATAGCTAATTGCACAAACTTCTTGGATAACAAGTTGTAGAGACGAAAAGCGTTCAGGTAAGCTTTCGGTTTAGGAGTCTTCTCTGTCTTTAATTGTTCCGCCATGATCAGTGGCGATTATGGTTTCCGTATGGATATAATTGTTGTTAATGTTGATACTTTGCGTAGTTGCATTCATATAGTGCATGCATATGACATTATTTATGTTATGACAAGTTAATATGATATGATCTTCAATAAGATAAAGCCTTGGAAGCATAAGTTATGGTTTTCTGAACAGAGGAAACATTTATGGATATGATCACGGTGTATATAAGGTATAGCCGAGGAAACTTTAGTTCTCTGATCATTATGAGTATGCTATTGAATATGATACGATATTACGAATATAAGATGAAAGCCTTATTTATACATAAGACATGAACGTAATTAAGATTAATAAGAAAGCACGTTATAAGAATAAATGAGAATTATCAGAAAATATATATGATACGGAAATTCTAATATGGATTATATGGTGTTATCTATGTCTTGGTACTTGACATTTTCTGGCAGGAAGTGGACTCTTGGGTGGAGACTGCTCCATAAACCCCAAGTTTATTGAGATTCATTCTCACCCCGCGTTATGGGGACATATTTCAGGTATCGCAGCAGTTGACGATGGTTCTCGGGGCAAGAGGCCCGTGGTTGAGGAGTAGATATGAGCATGGATGTTGCCTACTTATTTTGGGAGTCTGTTGTATTTATATTTACACTATGATGTATTATGTTTATGTAGGTTGATGTAGGATGTTGTAGTTATGACACATAGCCACCTTTTAATGTGATATATGTGGAGTTATGGATCATGCATGTATATTACTGTATATGATATGGAATTGTTGTATATTGTGGGTTGTAAGAGTCCCAAGGCATTGTTGGTCCTTGTGTGTGCCACCCACTGATTATTAGGTACCATTTGAGGTCATAGACCACTTGTACAAATTTGGGAAATGTTGGAAAAACAAAGGAAACTCTGGCGAATTTTCTGTAGAATTGGCAGATTTTAGACGAACTTCGGGAGAGCATATCTCCCTCCACAGAGGTCCGATAGGGAAATTCCATACACCATTTTGAAGCTTGGGATGTCCCCTACATGGTGGTAAAATATGAGGTTGTTCTGAGCTAGGCGCTGGACTTGGGAGGGCTGTGAACACAGCTGCCCTATTTGCCCTGCACTTGGGGGCTGTTCTGGCCGGTTTTTGAGGAATTGTTTCCCGCTTCGTTTCTCAGTAAAATTAAGCGTATGATATATCAAATTGAAGGTTGAGTTGTCTAGTTTGTAGCATAAAAATTTGATAATAATTGGATGAGTGGATTTTCTGAAGAAATTCGTGGAGTGAGAGAGGTTTTGAGCTGTTTTGGGGTTGGTTGGCTGTTTTGCTTATCCAACTTCAAACGGCGATAACTGGAGCAAACGAGCTCCGATTAAAGCGTGTAATAGCTTTTTAGAAAGGGAATTAAGTAAGAAAAAAAATATAATTCGAGAGGAAAGTCTGGTTTTAAGCGGTGTGTTCGCAAAAAAATATTTAGTGAACCATGTTCGAAAAGGTAAAAACATAAAGTTGAGAAATTGGCTAAGTGGGTTTATGGGAACCCCTTAGTGACTTATAATATGTAAAGTAAGATGTAAAAATAGTTAAAATAAGTATTCCGCAAGAGTTTACAGTTACGGTCACAGCTTTTAATTATTACGCTTTTTATTGTTTTAAATGCTCGCGTAATAATTCGAAAAAGTTTATTTGCATTTTTACAAATGAACTGTTGTGATTGTAACTGCGCTTAATATCATAAATAAATGTTAACAATACCGGTGTACAACGGGCTGTTACACCCATCAACCCAGTACCCCGACCGAGTCATTGACCGGTCCAGGTTTTATAACATTGGGTGAAAGCAAGCAATCTACCATGAAACCAATATCATCAATGAATTTAAGGTTAAGAAGAAGAAGAACGGTTTCTGCGTATATTAGGTGGAAGATGAAGATATGGTTACCTTCTTTCGATTTTTCAATTTTTCGATTTTGCAGCTTCCCACTTTTTTCTTTTATTTGAATATGCAACATGTAATTGTGGCTTCGTAATAATCAAAAGGATATATTATTATATATTCTTTCATTTTCTTATTTATTCTTTATTTTTTCTCCACCGAATATAATTATTAATATCCTTTGTATATCCAAAAAAATAATGAATTTTTTTATTTTTTGTATGACTTTTATGATGTATCCTTTGTTTATCTTTTTATTTTCTTTTTATTCTCTAGATAAATTAAATAATATTCAAAACTTATTTCGATAAAACTTTCAAAAATTTAATATCCTTTAAATGTGAATAAAATATTGAAATTCCAAAAACATCTCATAATAAAAGAAAATAACATTTGAAATTGTGCAAATAACCTAAAATTTCTGTTTGTTTATTATTTTTGTTTCTTTATATTTCCATCTTCTCAAACTCTACTTCTGTAATATTTAAGTTAAAATTGTGCAAATAAAGGAAAATAACTTTTGAAATTATGCAAATAACTTAAAATTTCTATTTGTTTATTATTTTTGTTTCTTTATATTTTCATCTTCTCAAGCTCTACTTCTGTAATATTTTCAAATAAAAAATGGTATAAAACAAAAATACATATTAAATAGAACACATGCAAACCCAAAAATATGATCCAAGTAATTCATCATATAGGATATGATTTGGAATTTCTATTGTAAACCTGAATGGGTTAAAAGATTCAAGGAATTCCGATTATAATTCTGATTGCGTGGAAAATTTCAAAGGTCACTGTAGACATTTTCAAAACACAAAGTAATTATATTATGAGGAGTCTTTTAACAGTTAATGAAAAATAACAGTAATTAATATACCTATTAGGAATAAGTTATTTACTGTGTAATTGCTAATGCTAATAATGAGATGCCAATTCGATGAATAAAAGTGGGTTGTTAATCTTAAGATGAATGAGATATGAATGGAATCCTCATAAAAATGGAAGTTGCCGAAGCTCATAATGATAAGATGGAAAATGAAAAATAATTATACGAGATATAGAATTTAAAATCATAAATGAATGAAAAAAAATTTATTTTAATTCAAAATTTAAAATATTTAAACTAAATAGTTTGTGCGAAAAGAGTTTAGCATTAATTAGTGGCAAACATGTGCATTAATATCTCATTTCTTTTTTAAAATTCAAAATTTGGAGTTGATATAGGTGAAAAAAAGGGTTTAACATCTTCTAGTAGGAGACAACTGTATTAAATCTCCGTTATTTTCTCCATGGGAATTGTTAACCCTTATTTTAAAAAAATATTGAATGCTTTTTTTCATAATTATCGAAAAATCAAAAGACCCAAAAAATTGCTGAAGTTGCATATATATATATATATATATATATATATATATATATATATATATGAGAAAAATATTTCTCAAGTTGCTTGGGATATATTTATCTCCGGCCAGCTCAAAACTACGTCATTTTGTTTATTTATTTCCTTGTATCAATATTCACCTTTGAATGATTATGATTTCCATTTTCTCTCTCTTCCTTCGTCACCATTGATCCATCTTCGTACGATTATGATTTAGTGGCCGAAGATATGTGAAACCAAAGAAGAGTTCATTTTTACAAGGGTTTTGATGATAACAAACAAGCTTAGAAGCGAAGTCAAAAATAAGACAACTCGCAACAATCAAAAGTCCAAGGAAGCAATTCAACAAGACAACAAGAGCAAATCATTCAACACACATGATCAAGATCAAAGATCAAGATTGCAACATATCCTTGAGAGCTTAGATCTAAATGTAAAGGTAATTGATTAATGATGCATAAATGAGCTCAAAGGATATTTAACTCTATGCATGCATTATCCATGTTGTAACATCCCGAGCGCTGACGAGGGCGGGGAGTGATCGCCGATGCGCAAGGGCACGGACAAGGAGCGGCTCCTGGCAGGCTTCCAGCGGCGGAGGTACATGAATGAATCAAATAACACCGGAAAGAGAGGGATTCAAGAGATTGTGCTGGTAGAGGACAACACATCTAAGGATAACTTATAAGAATTAATTGGTACTACCTATACTAACAAGATGCATCTACTTTTCGGTAGCACTGGATCGGAAGAACTCCACAGTTAAGCGTGCTTGACTTGGAACAATTCAGGGATGGGTGAACTCCTGGGAAGTTTTCCCGGGAAGTGTGTGAGTGAGGACAAAGCACGCTAAAAAGTCTCGTGTTAGTGTGTGAGGATAGTCGTTGATCCTTGTAAGTTGCCAGGCGTTACACATGTCATCAATCACTTGAAAGCTTTAATATTTATGAAAAAGACCCTTGACATATTTCGTAACCTCAAAACGTTTTCAACAAGTCAAGGAATTACATTAAAAGTTATTAGACACAAATATAAATGCTTTACAACTCAAAAAACTGCACTGTTGATGTTCTGTCAAGAAAGTATTCGAATACTTTCTTGACTGTATTCGAATACTTGTGTTGTGAACAAAGTATTTGAATACCTTGAGAAAAGTATTCGAATACCAGATGAAGTATTCGAATACTTCACGAAAATTATTCGAATACTTACTGGACAGTAAGCAGTCTAACGGCTATAAACAGCTAGTTTCGTGCCAACACCTATATATACTCATTTATTACGAATCAGCAAGCCTAGGTTTACTGTTCCATTGGTTTGGGAATCATTATTGATCATTTTCATTGAATCAAACTCATTCATTGCTGGTTCTTACTCATATTGATCATAAAACTCCTTTGAGCTTCACTCTTGTGTCATTAATCAATACCCATAAGCATTAGCGGACCTACATAGTTTTTTATGTGTGCAAGTGCAGACACAAAAAAAAAAATTCATTTGAAATAACTTTAAGAGTAAAGTACCTTTTGGTCCTCAACAAAAGTCACAGGGCCCATTTTAATCGATTAGAAAAAGAGTAAATACCTTTTTTGGTCCTCAGCAAATTTTACGATGCTCGTTTTAGTCCCTAGCAAATAAAAAG